TTTTCTAAATTTTTGGACATTTTCATTTACATAGCAAAAAAAAATAAAAATCCCAGCGGTGAATAAATACCACCAAAATAAAGCTATCTGTCTAAAAAAAATGGTAAAAAATTAATATGGGTACAGTGTTGCATGACCACGCAATTGTCATTCAAAGTGTGATAGCACTGAAAGCTGAAAATTGCCCTGGACAGGAAGGGGGTAAAAGTGTCCGGACAGGAAGTTAAGTAAAGCTGCTTTTTTTTTTGTTCGAGACTAAATGAGCAGTCAATCCTTCTGTGTGTGGGAGTAGAGGGTAGGGCCTCATGCACACTGCTGCTCCTAAACGTGAGTTTAGGAGCTTTTTGTGTTTTTTTTGCCAAAGCCCCTGGACTTAACTAAATAAAAGGAGTCCATGTACACATAGGTTTTTTGCAAAGTTTAGGAGCAGTTATGTTCCTCTCCTGAACGTGATTCTTCTTTTGGCCAAAAACGCATCTAAACGCTAGCCGTATTTAGTGTTGGGGTGTTTATTCATGTCAATGGAAAATACTCTCGCCAATCAACTGAATAAACATCCAAGCACTAAGTGTGATGCTGCATTTTATATGTTTTTTGCTGTATTTAGCTTTTCTGCTGCCAGGAGAGCTAATCGTCTAGGGGAGTCCATGTGTACATGAGGCCTTACTCAAAACAAGGTAGATCTATTCACATGTTTTCTGTAGAAATGAAGGATGACTTTCAGGCAACTTAACACTGATTATTAGTCCCCTTATTTTTCAAATGGTCACAAGTTTAGGAGCAGTTATGTTCCTCTCCTGAACGTGATTCTTCTTTTGGCCAAAAACGCATCTAAACGCTAGCCGTATTTAGTGTTGGGGTGTTTATTCATGTCAATGGAAAATACTCTGGCCAATCAACTGAATAAACATCCAAGCACTAAGTGTGATGCTGCATTTATATGTTTTTGCTGTATTTAGCTTTTCTGCTGCCAGGAGAGCTAATCGTCTAGGGGAGTCCATGTGTACATGAGGCCTTACTCAAAACAAGGTAGATCTATTCACATGTTTTCTGTAGAAATGAAGGATGACTTTCAGGCAACTTAACACTGATTATTAGTCCCCTTATTTTTCAAATGGTCACATTTGAGATTTCTCCATTAGACTGCTTTTTATACAGTTTTATTCACTACCTGTGCACCAACACAGCTACCAAATTCTCTTAGGTGTCCATAGCTGGAAGCTGAACAACTCTGATTTAGGTATAGAAGAGGCTATAAAAAACATATCCATTGTTATGTTGGCACACATGCCCACACTGCTAAGTATATGTCTCAAACGATTCAGCGAGTTTGCAATCAAAACTTTTGTTTTGTAATGTCTTTTGTTGAAGAACAACTATATGCAAGATGTTACCATAGAAAAAAATGCTAACTTTGAATCTGCAGCGTATTTTTGTCCTCGAACCATTAAGTCCTGAGAATAACATGAGCTTTTTCCCAATTATTCAGGGGATAAAAAGATTAGCGCTAAAAGGCCAAACTTTTTCATTTTGGATAGAGTAAGGTAGGGTTATAAAACACTTTTTCTTTTCCTTGCTGCCATGTCTCCTATTGGGGAGATTTCTCTTCACTGCCTGTCCCATAGCCAAAGCAAGGAGTCAAAAGGAAGTCACCAGAACTAGTGTCACCATTGGAAGATATCCCCATTATTCCTGTTCTGGTGATACTCCAAAATTTGGAATTTTATTTTACTTTCACTCAGTGTAACAGTAAACAGGACAATTAGAGGGTGTATCTCCCTAATGGGGGCACAGACAGCAGTAGACACCTGACAGGGGTTTTAATCCATCTCCAGTCTTATCTAAGCTAAAAAAAAAAAAAAAAAAATTTTTTTTTCTCTTTAGATATACTTTAATTAGTATGCTCAAAGATGATCCAGATGCCGCTGGCCTTGTTTATCACAGACCTTTATAGTGCCATGTATTAAGTCAGTTGTTTCCTGAAAGGACAGGTATATTTTGTTAGATGTACTGGCCCTTGCTCCTGCAGCATCTGGGTACATTTCAGTGCCAGGTTATTACTGAAGATAATCTCAGTTCTATACAGCATGTAGTCCCCAGTCTGTGTGTTCACATTGCTCAAGACACCTTAGAGCATACTGTTCCAGACATGAGATCTGCCCTGCACTGTGCCATGCAGCTTGAAACTAGATGCATCTTCAAACAAATGTGGCTTTTTTTGTAGAGACTAAAGCATAGCCTAATTTTCAGCATGAATGATAAATTTGTTTAATCCTTGTTAAACACAGACCTTCACCCTCTTCCACTCAATAGGTATTATGCCATTTATTTATTTTTTAAAGTCTGACCTTTTCTCCCCATGCACATCATTCTCCTTAGACGAATTGCTTGCACACTGTCCACTGTGCCTCCTGGGATAGCCTTACGTGGAGAAAAGGGCAGGCCTATCAGCACGTCACTGGGAGGTTCGCCCGCTGAACCAGGAAGAGCCATCGGGTCTCTCAATGATGTCAGAACATGGGTGCATGGGACAGAGCTGTGGCTGGGCATGAGAGGGTCTCAGAAGGACAGCGCTGTGTGGGTGAGTATCTGAAATCTGCAGATACAACCTTAAGGTGTGCAGGGCTGAAAGAAAAATCTGGGTGCAAATCTGCTTTAAGTATCCCAGGGAACACAGTACATGTAGATCTTTGTTCCAACTTCCCATATACTGTCCCAGGCTAGTCTCGAGGGGAAAAGGCAGGTGCCCTGTCCAACTTCCCAGCTAGACCTAGACAGCACATAGGATAAAGAAGAGGTCTGTGTTGACAAGCATAGGGCTTTTGTCGCTAGGCAAATGCAGCTTGCTGATGACCTCAATTTGAAACGCTTCTCAGAATGCATTTGACTGGATTTAAGCTATTTTGCCTAATACATACACTTGTATGGGGAGAGAAGCAGTTTTGGCAGTAACAAAAGACCATTGATGCAGACCTTTAAAGCCTAACTCCCTCCTTTCCCTTTAAAAAGATTGTATGAGCCAATCTGGCCCAAGTCAATGGTTTCCTTTACTAATGGCAACAGCCACTGGCAGCACGGTATAAACTGTATGTAGCATTAACCATATTTATTATTAGTACTTGTATAGCACCATAAAGTTATAGTGCTTTACATATATATTGCACATTTACAACAGTCCCTTCCATCATACAATATATATATACAACACTACTGTCTTCTGGCAACAGTACAGGGACTTCCCATCTGCTGCTGGAACAAAATCCAGTGGTCCTAGTACTTTTCAGCCCTTTACAGGAAGCCTTGTATTTTTTCCCCAATTAATACAAAGCTTCCTATGAACAGCCAAGGTGGCATCACAAGCTCCAGCCTCAGCCATTCAGAGGAAGCCTTGTATTTATTGATAGAAGCCTACTTGAGTGTGTTCCAGCAGCAGATGGGAAGTCCCTGTACCACTGCCAGAACACTATTTTTAAAAGGGTAAGGAAAGAGAGTTTGGCTTTTAATATGGTTGGGCAGGGCACCCGCCTTCTCTCTTCACAGCTAGCCTGGGACAGCATATGGGAAGATGGAACAAAGATCTACATGTATGGTGTTTCTTGAGATACATAATGTGGATTTGCACCTGAACCACCCCTTTTTTTTTGGGGGGGGGGGGGGGTAGCTCAGCCCTGTGCACCTTACGGTGGTATCTGAATGGCAATATATTGTCTGTCTTAGGGTTTGTTTACACCATACGTGCATGTAAACTGACATGCAGATTTCACTTGTAAACATCAGTTTCCATATGCACTTTATACATATCGCAGGGCACATGGATTGATTTTGTTGTGTCCTCGCACAATATGTGCAGAAAAACTGACATCACTGCATCATGGTGTAAACGAGCCCTAAGCGTGTTCTTCCTTTAGACATTTTTTAAAAATATAGCCTAGTGTACATAACTTTTTTTAGCCACACATCATATACATAAACTGAACACACAGTGTTTGGTTTAGAGAGTCTATCACAAAATCAGTTTATTCTAAATAAAAAAAAGAAAAAGAAAAAAAAAAAAGCCTTCTATACATTGTTGTTCTAGTTCCAGTATGATGTATTATGGAACGTGCATAGTTATCATACTCGGCAAACTCTAAACCTAACTGATCATGTGAATTTTATAGAATGAGCAAAGGATTCAGTTACTGACTGCTAATCCCTCAAGTAACAATTCCTGCTAATCAACATAGGAACTCAGACACACCATCCTGCCCTCTTCCACAGGGATTTCCTGGATGCTGCTAGCACTGGCACATGGACTTATAGTGATCAGGTCATGCCCTGTCTGGCAATTTGGGGGTTCGAGCATCTCTTCAAAGTGGTAAAAACTGGATTGCAGAATTACAAAAAAAAAATAGGACTTGCTAATCTTTTAAGGTTGCAAACCGTTATCTTTGCCAGGAATCTCTGAGCCTCATAAATCTGAACACAACAAAGAAGACAACTTATACCATATAACACCCACTTCCAAAGAAACCTCTGGCAGTCAATGCTTAGTTTTTGTGAGGCCCAGGAGTCCAGACTATCACTTAGCTGTTTATCCCAAATCACTTCATATGCTACAGAGATCATCCTATATCACTGTGCCCAGATATCCATTTAGGACAGGTTGGCCCCCCCCCATGCAAACTGACTTTATATCTTGACATTGTTGCCTAAAACATTAGACATTATAGGATCAAGAACGAAAAAGGAAAATGGTTTTCAACCTCCCCTTTATCAGCTTAAGTGTACGATTCCTGGGCATGCTTCTGTCCGCAGGCCCAGCTGGCCTCCTCCTCATTCCTGGACAGACGGGGCCCAGATACAGACAGGACAAAGCCCCTGGCCCTCAGTATGTGTCGACATCTACCTCATCACTCAATGGGGTCAGTCTTATGTGAAAGGTTTGATACAGAGGCCTGAATGAAAGCACAGCCCACACCCGCTGTCCTGTAAGATTCCTGAGTTCAAATACAGATACATCATTTCCTCCGATCCTTCCTCTCTGAACGTCGGCTTTGTTGGCCCTCTGCATTGCGTGGCATGAGTACTATGTTGCCATTGCTAGTGTAGTGCAAGGCATATCGCTGAGGAGAGTATGGCCGACCTTCTTGATCTCTAAGCTGGCTGAACACTTCCTGATAAAGGCTTTCCACTTCCTGCTTCATTCTCTGGAGCGATCTCAAGTTTTCACCCTTTTCCCTCAATTGAGAGCTACGTTCTCGACTTAAACGCTTAACTTCTTGTTCCAGGTTCAGAATGGTGTCCAATTTTCTCTTACGGCAGTTCTGAGCTGCCATCTTGTTCTTTCCTCGCCTGCGAATATCTCGTACTAAGCAAAGCTGTGCCTCAGTAAGTTGGTACTTGGTTAGCAGCTCGTTAAATTCCTCGACAGGTAGGTTAATAATCTTCTCATTACTAAAAGGAATCTTCATAGCTCTTGCTCTTTGTTCATCTCTCCCTGCTTGCCGGTCTAAAAACACTGAAGGTCTTCTGCTGCTGCCTCTTGCCGGTTGTGGCTGCTCCTCCTCTGGCTCATCAGGAACCATATTATAGGTATGATTGTGCCCAACATGCTCCAGAAAGAGCAAGCGCTGAAATCGACTAGGGTCCTCAGAACTCATTCGACAGAACTTGCTGTATTCTGGTTGGTAACTAATGGATTCTTCTGACTCCTCAGGTTCCATCATCTCAGAATCAGAACTGTATCCTACTGCTCCCTCCTCCGAGAAAGAGGAGGAAGAGGAGGAGGAGCAGGAAGATGAGGAAGAAGTCTCAGACCCACTAGGCGACACTGGGCTACGGTGAGAGTCCAGAGAGAGACCAGAATCTGAATCTAGCTCTTCTTGAAGCTGTGAGGCCTGTATTTGGCTAAATCCTTCCTCCAGTGCTAGCTCCATAAGGCTAATTTCATCCAGTAAAGCCTCATCCAGGATTCCACTAAGTGGATCTTGCAGAACATTAGTGGCTGTTACATTAGCTGTACTGTTTTGCTGTGAAGGAAACAAAATCCCAGAAAAGTTTGTGAACCCAAAAGTAGAATTCAGGTCAGTAGAGTTATGAGAGGAGAGCTGAGGAAGTGGAGAGTCAGGAACAGGAAAATGCTCCATGGTGGGACTGTAGACAGACATATTTTGAGAACAACCCTGAAAAGCTGTTTGATGGATGCCTTCATTCTGCTGGAGCGATGGGTCCATGCTTAAATATAGGGGGTCCTCGGATGAACTGTTGATGTCCATGGGCTATGAAAAGAAACAAGTTCAGGAAATTCAATAACGACAGAGCACAGTTAAGCGATACACATCTACAGCACTGCTCTATTAATGGAAAAAGTGTAGGGGGAGCCTTTGCCTATGCCAAGATTTTGGTCACTGTGCCAACTGTAATAAGAAAGCTTTGTATAGGTCTATACTCCAGATATTATGCTGTATGAAGTCATGACCTTAAAGTGGTTGTAAAAGCTGAAGAGTTTTCTTTACCTTTCTGCATGAAGGAAAAAAACCTGTGTGCTGCTCCCCCCCAGTACTTACCCAATCCCTCTCCATCTAGCAATGCGCGTTTTCAGAATTCCCAGGTTTCTCTCCCCCTCATTGGCTGAGACACAGCAGCAGGAGCCAGGAGCCAGTGGCTTCCACTGCTGTCACAGAAAGCAGGGGGGAAGGGGGGGGGGGGGGGGAGCTCCAGCTATGTGTCTTATGGAGCGAGCACTAGTCAAGGGGGCAGAGTCAGGAGTGCCAGTGGAGGACCTGAGAAGTAAAGGATCAGGACCGGTCTGTGCAAAACCATTACACAGAGCAGGTAAGTATGCCCTGCTTATTATTAAAAAAACAAACAAAGCTTTAATATCACTTAACATATACCACTAAAATGTAGCTCGCTTAGTGTCAGAATCAGGGTAATATACTAAATGAAAGCTGCCAAAAGGCATTTTAGCTCCACACTGTGAATTAGTATACGGTAACTTTTTTTTTTTGTTTTTAATGTTTTCTAACATCCCAGACATTATTATACAAGAAATCCACTAAAATAGCCCTTCTTAGTGATAATTCAGAAGCCTCCTAGAACAGGGGTCCCCAACCCCCAGCTGGGAGGTGAGCTGCACAGCAGGGGCGTGGCAGCAGGCAGAGCGAGCCAGCACAAACTGCACTGCCACACTCGGGCGCCTGCTCCCGTTCTCCTAGCACCACTACTCCCTTCTCTTTCTGTGGTCACAATGAAGGGGAGGCAGGAGACCTGGGCCCAGGCAGAATCTCAGAGCACTGGTTCAACCCTTTTTGCACCCCCAACAACAACCCCCCCCAACTGAATGGCTGAAACCCACCCCTTGGTCTTTGGAGGGGTTGTCTTCCGCGCAGCCGGTTCCTGGTATCAGGGACCACTGTCAAAGAATAAATTGTACCCGGTCTCCTGCAGCCCCTTGTAAACAGCTTTCTCCCACTCTATACATTGCATGGTGGTCTGAAATCCAAGTGAAGATTTGTATACGGCACTGTTGTTACTGAAGAAAAACAAGTCACAATCTAAGGTTCACCAACACATGAAATCTGAGATCATCAGTTTTAGGATAAGCCAAAGCAGCAACAGTCTCAATCATATCATCAGACGTAATTTTCCAAAAGGTGTCTCCTCCAATGGAACATTTTGATCTTTAGGCACATATCAAATCTCTATGTGTTTAAGCTATGTGCAGTTTTTAATAAAAGAATAATATTAAAAGAGGTTTGAGAATTTTTTTTGTAAATTATACTTACCTAGGTGGATGCAGCATCAATGCGATGCTGCCTCTGACCCCTGTCGGCTCAAAGGCTGAGAACTGAGCGATCAAACTGGGTAGAGTGGTGTCAGTCACCACTGTCTGCTCTGCCTTTCCCAGCGCTCAAACTGCACTCCTGTAATCCATAAAAGTACAGCCAAACGAGCTTTGGCTATACTTCTCCTTTAATTGCATTTTAGACTGTCTTTAGATTTCTGTAATCCTCTGCATTCTCAGCAGTACATCCTTCTTGTACAGTCTATTAGGTATCTTGCAAAGAGCTGTCAATGTAATGGGGGGGGGGGGGGGGGGAGAATCTAAGCAACAGAGGGGAAAAAAAAAACATAGTGATGACTGTTGTGGTGTACCTTTACCTGCCAATGAGAAGTCTTGAGTTTGGGGTGAACAACCTGTATTGCTTCACTGCTGTGCAGAGAAGTGAGGTCACTGACCAAGCTATGGTCTCTTGCATGGTTGCCTAAATTACAAGCCTGGCTAAACAATATTACAAATATTTTGTATAATGTAAGATGTATTTCAACCATGTACTTAGCCATTTGCATGGAGCTCAGCTAGAATTACAGTTTAAGAATAGTGAAAACTGGGGAGTATTCAGTTCAAAATTATGAACAGTTAGTACCTGCATATCCATGAGTGACATTAGGTCCTGCCACTGCTCCTCCAAGTCCAGAGGGGTCTCAATATTTGGTAGAAATGGAGATAGCAGACCATCTGCTTGTTCTAAACCTGTCTGGTCTGGCTCTGTATCCAAGATGTTTGTTGGGGGAGGAGCTGGAAACTACAAAAGAAAAAAAAAAAAAAGTCAGACTATGCTCTCAGGAATTGTACACATGGACTTCAGCTTCATATTGGCGCAGTGTGTACAGCAAGCTTTATAAAAGCATTTGAAGCTCTTTTAGGAAGCTTCAAGCAGCTTTCTAAAGCCTTTAAAAACACTTCTCTCTCCAGCTCCAGTTTTAGAAAGGCAATCACAGATCTTAATAGGAGTATCAACTGCCTTTAAACCAGCTGCTAGCAGCCTTTCAACACCTTTTAAATAATGTTGACACATGATGAAAGACTACTGAAGCCTGATAGCAGATTTTTTTTTTTTTTTTTTTTTTTTAATACTTACCTTTTTACTTGTGTTCAGGCTGGTTAGGATTTTTACCAGCAGAAACAAACCCTTAAAGTGTTACTAAACCCAGGACCCTGCATTCACTCTGATCTCCCACAGTACACAGAAATGCAATTATTTTAGTAAATATAAACAGCTAAATACCTTCTCTTATCAGCAGTTATAGAAGTCAAGACTTCTCTAAGTGTCCAGCTGAGCACTTGTTAAAGCTTGTAGCAGGAGTTTTCATTCTCCTCTAGGAGGAAGGACCCATGACCTCTGTCTGGAAAGTGCTGATTGGCCCTGTGCTGATCACATGCACTCTCCCAAGAAAAACAAAACAAAAAACCTCTCTAGCAATACACACCTTGGTGTAGAGGGGGACACTGGAAGAAGGGGAGGACCAGAGGCATCAGGATCAAACAACGTTTTTACACAGTGCAAAGGATTAACCCCTTAGGTTCCACAGCGAGTATACCAAGCATGCTTTAGGCTAGGTTTACATGTGCAGGTGGTGCCACTGCGGATCTGCACAAAAATCTGTGCAGCCGCACCACTCACACAGAAAAGCGCGGACCTGCAGGCGGGTGCCAATAATTCTAATGGCACACCGCCCACACTGGAAATCGCAACCGCACTGGGAACAGAGGTTCCCGTGCGGGCTGCGGTTTCCAAAGAAGTACAGGGACTTCTTCACTGCATGTCCCGTGGCACGGGAGTCCATTCACATGAATGGGTTCTTGTGCCTGCGCAAAACGTGGCCCGCAGGAACGCACGTATGTGAACCACGGCGTTCTGCATATACAGACTGATTTTTCTGTGGTGGGTTTAGTAACACTTGAATGATGAAAAGAGCAATAGTGCTGGGATAAGGTAACCATCGCTCTCAGCAGCACTGTAAGGTTATGGTGCTCGGGTGATGCCCCCTCAGGGGATGGGTCCATAACACCCTGTATTCACAGAATGTTCTCTGACTTCCAGATTCAATGTTGGTGGGCATCAACTAGTAGGATAATGGAAAGGAATTACTATGGAGCACAGTGAAGGAGAGGAAACAGTATTACAGCCAGAGTTTTTTTTGTTTTTCTTTTAAACCTGAGGATAGGTGACCTTATTTGCCCAGAGATGGGCATCAGCTCTAATAGAATCTATTATTGGGATCCTCAAACTGGAGCTACAGGGTACTCTAAATACTTCAAGAACTAAACTTGAGGCTTGCTGAAACTTTATAATACTTTGCTATAAACTTGCTGTAAACACTGTTCCTTTACTAGTTGAATCCCATAGAAGCAAAGCTTAAATAGGTCACACTAAACAGCAGTATGGATGTCAAGGAGCCTCAGTTACCTCTGAAGAATCAAACTGGAAATTGTCATCCAGGAGACTCAGGCATTCTGCCAATGACATAGCTGTTTGGCCCTGTAAAGACAACACCAATCAGCACTCCAAAAAGGAATATAATGGTACTGTCTGCTCAATTGCAATACGTCACTCACCTCCTGAGGTACATTTTCTCCAGTCTCCCCATCCACCAGCAACCGGTGTTCCACATTTTCACTTCCTGAGCTATCACCCAAGGATTCCCAAACATCTTCATTGTCCTTGTGATTATGGCGACTCTCAAAGTCTTCTCGCCCTGCTCCAAGGTCAATATCCTGAAGCCATAAAATATCTATCGGATCAATTTCCTGGAAGGTGAAAAACCCAAACATGAATACACCTTTAGCTTCCAAAAATGTACCATAAGTTCTGGCATGTTATTTTCTTTGTATTTCAAGAATATGTATATATATTTATTATATCATTGGGTGATGATAATAATCTACACACCCTACAGTCAATAAAAAGAAGTTCAAGTGTCGGGTTCCAGTGCTGGATGTGTGTTCATGCATAACAATACATCACTATTGAAAATTAAGTACCAGCACAGATGGCCTGCACTAAAAGCACAACAAAAAAATGTAAAATGATGGACATCATCCCAATAGGATACAAATGAAAGCTGAAAGAAAATAAAGCTTTTGTGTATCCCTATTCAGCATCTACTCTGAAGGAAGCCAGAGCCGTACAGCAAATCACTGCATTGTCTGTTAGGGCAGAAAACCCTCCACAAACTCTCAAGGTCACTGTCAAGTTTAAAGTCCTTCAAGATGTCATCTTGTCATGTTTTTGTGTCAGCTGCATGCGGACATGCACCAGAGTAGCATAAAGCACATCCTAGCCACTGCAATACAACAGGCAGCATGATTAGGACACTCATAGGAACAAGGGCACATGTAAAAAAAGAACCAGTTACCATCTGTATAGTAAATACAACATTTTACACACCAAACACAGATGAATAAACAGTATATTTTGTTGCCAACATGCACATCATATGACTCCCCCTCCCTATATGTGAGAGACATGGGTCATGTGTATCTGTGCTGCCAACTAACACATAAACAGGTTATATGACTGTTCCCTGCTGCCTATAAGCCTAAGAGGCTCTATATTGTGCAAGTGTGGACCAGGCACCTGTCACCTCTGGTCATACTGCCAACCTGACACAAATAACAGCTGTCGGTTCCTTCATCATTATCTCCAACAGAAGACAGCCACGTTATGAGCTGTCTGTCTATTCAAATAAAGTACACAAATGCAATCGCGATTTGCATGCTTCAAAAAGAAAAAAAAAACCCATACTCTTCTGCACAATGCTAAAGATAAATACATTAAACATGTACATGCATCTGTATAGGAGGTCAAATGGACAAAATAATGACAACTGGATTAACTTCATTTTCTATAGAACACTTTAAAAAGTTGAGAACAAAGAATTAGTACACAAATGTAAGACCATATAAACACAAACAGGGGATTTGATTAAACATTTCAGAATTGTACACCTGCTTATCTTAATTCTGTTTTATGTACAAACAGGATATAGAGATAGTATGACTTTTGCAAGGACTTTAGACCTTAAGTTACACTAGGTCAGGGGCTAATGTGAAGAGGTGTCATGCTCACTGCAGTGCTATGGCACATATAAACACTAAGACAAACGGTTTTATTTATTTTTATTTTTTTTAAAGGCACTTTCTTTGGTTTTTGTCTTCTATAGCCAAAGGTTAGGCATTAGCAGCCGCAAGCTGTTGAGGAACCAATAATCTCAGAAAGCCTTTCAACAGTATACTCCCTTTACAGCCAGAGATTTGCAAATTGACTAGAGTTGTTTCAAGTGATTTTATTCTAAATGTTGGCAGTGTAGTGTCCAATTTAAACACATAAAGCAGCCACTATCAGTTAGGCTTCAGTAGTCTCATCTTGTTCAATTTATTTGAAAGGTGTTTAAAAGCTGATTTAGCAGCTGGTTTAAAATGACTTGATACTCCCATTAAGCAACCATGGTCAACCAGCGATCAGTGGAACCCTATGGCTCTTCCAGGGGTATCAGCTGTGGTTAAAGACCTCCCATTTGATGGTGCATAACTCTGGGTCCAGCACCACTTGGCAAAGCCAGTAGCAGGACACTAATGAACTTTTCAATTGTAAGGGTGGCATTCTAACCACCACTGTCAGAGGGCACTCTTCCTACTGGCCAACGTGAGGGGCATTCTTCTCACACGTTGGCAGTTGGGGGCATGCTCACCCCTGGCCAACTAACGTCGTGAGGGGCATTCTCGTGACGGGGCATTCTCGCCCCTGGCCAACAACGTGAGGGCCAATCTTCCCCCCCCCCCCTTGCCAACAACGTGAGGGCCAATCTTCCCCCCCCCCCCTTGCCAACAACGTGAGGGCCAATCTTTCCCCCCCCCCCCTTGCCAACAACGTGAGGGCCAATCTTCCCCCCCCCCCCTTGCCAACAACGTGAGGGCCAATCTTGAGGGCCCCCCCCCCCCTTGCCAACAACGTGAGGGCCAATCTCCCCCCCCCTTGCCAACAACGTGAGGGCCAATCTTCCCCCCCCCTTGCCAACAACGTGAGGGCCAATCTTCCCCCCCCCTTGCCAACAACGTGAGGGCCAATCTTCCCCCCCTTGCCAACAACGTGAGGGCCAATCTTCCCCCCCTTGCCAACAACGTGAGGGCCAATCTTCCCCCCCTTACCAACAACGTGAGGGCCAATCTTCCCCCCCCCCCCCTTGCCAACAACGTGAGGGTGAGTGAGGGGCATTCTCCCCCCTGGCCAACAACGTGAGGGGCATTCTTCCCACTGATCCCAATTAATTTTAGCTAGGGTTCGTAGAGACCTGAAAATGATTTCCTCTGAGGTAAAAAGGGTTTGGAAAGGCTGACATAAAGCAAATAGCTTAGACAAGCATATGCTGAAGATCACAGTGTAACATAGCAATCAAAGTAAACAAATATTACCAAACACAGTGACATAATCACTCTTGGGCTACAGTAAATAAGTCTAATTTGTCACACAGCAGGGAGACTGATGGATGATCACGTGACTGAAGAGCCTAAAGTAATTCTAACGGTCTATACATAATATATTTTCTCCTGCAATTTTACCGGATACATTTAGTTACATACCGCACATGGTTAAAGAAAAATTCTTGTTTCCCAAATGGTGTTCTAGGGCAGCACATGATTGTTATTATATTTCCTCTGCCCGGAGGAGACACATCGCATGGAATCTGGTAGGAGGCTAAGCTCAGGATTCTCATCTGCGAAGTGTCTCCTTCGGATAGAGGAAACACAGTCACTGTCATGTGCTGGCCTGGAAATAGAGTTACCAGTAAGTCTAACTGGATTTCTATACACTTGACTATGGAGTAAAGTAAGGTGACCCTAATCCTGTCTGCACTGCAGACTCTCCACATGTCTGACACATAGAAAAACAACCCTCGACCCTCCTTCGCCAAAAACAACTGCCCTCCTCCCTAAACCCTTCTTTCAACAAATCAGTGTACAAGTCCAGGCATGCAAACCTCTGAAAATGCTGTAATTATATAACAGTATGCCCTTGTTTGACAAAGTATTTCTTACCTCTTTTCCAAGTTCTGTGTTTTCACACTGAGCAGATGCCCCAAGTTCCTCTGATTCACGTCCTTGTTCATTCTCTAAGCTGTCCCTGAGGCTGCTCTCTGAAGTGGGGAGGTTTTGAGGACTGTCCGTAGAACGGCTGGAGCCAGTCTGAGCGCTGGACACAGAGCTCTCAGCTTCCCTGTGCACTAACCAGGCATCAAGCTCTGTGCTGGGCACCTGCAGTCTGTCCAGTGCACGCATACGGCTTAGCAGTCTGCGGGAGGTGAAAAACTGGTCCAAGTCCACACTCTTGGGGTGAACCCCATAACCATCAGAGGTACCACGAAGGCTGTGGAATTGAGTCTGTGTATAGGCAGAAGTAGGCCCCAGGATGATCTCGTGCAAAGGGGGCAGGTGAGAGGGCAGATAGGAATCCAAGTCCACACGCACACCCATCAGGCTCAGCAGAATAGTGAACTGGATAAGACCCTCCGTCAGATACTTCTTCAAAGACAGCATGTCTGGGAGCCCCAGGGAAGAAGGGACCCCCAACACTCACACTTCCGTGTACTCTAGAATATGTCCCAATTGTTTGCCTTTACAAAAAAATAAATTGTATTAGGAATTAAAACCATGTCCAACAGAGAACCTTTTTTTATACATAATATGGCCAAATATTCAAACAACATTCATGAAGGTTAATTGGCTCCTGTCTAAATTGTCCCTAGTATGTGTATGTATGAATGTGAGTTAGGGACTTTAGATTGTACACCCCTTGAGGGTCAGGGACTGATGTGAATGTACAATATATATACGTGAAGCAATGCCATTTTCAAACAAGATCCAGCGGAACCTTAGGATTTCTTGAGCTATGGCTGAAAGACCTCCCTTCTGGTGGTGCCTACATCATTTTAGGTCCTAAGGCAGCAAAGCAAGTGGCATGGCACCTACAATATTTTTAACTGTTTAAAAGGGTGGTTTACTGATCTGTGTAATAGGGGCATTCTTCCCACTGCACCCCCCCCCCAATGAATTAATTTTACCAGGGCTTCCGAGACTGGAAAGGGTCCTTCTGAAGTTAAGAATCGGATAAAAGCTGACCTAACCAGTGCAAGCTGTGACTTACAGAGGGATTGCATCAGAAAAGAACATTCATGAAGACATCCTAACCTACCTAACCAGGATTCCATGGAACCCTACCTAGGGTTTCTCCAGAGGTTCCTTGAGCTTTGGCTAATTGACTTCCAAAAGCATTATGCAAAGCGGCATAGCATTAATGCGCTCTTTAGCTATCTGTAAGAGTGGCATCCTCCCCACCGATCCCCGGGGCAAAGGGAGCATCCTCCCCACCGATCCCCGGGGCAAAGGGGGCATCCTCCCCACCGATCCCCGGGGCAAAGGGGGCATCCTCCCCACCGATCCCCGGGGCATCCTCCCCACCGATCCCCGGGGCAAAGGGGGCATCCTCCCCACCGATCCCCGGGGCAAAGGGGGCATCCCTCCCCACCGATCCCCGGGGCAAAGGGGGCATCCGCCCCACCGATCCCCAAGGTAAAGGGGGCATCCGCCCCACCGATCCCCAAGGTAAAGGGGGCATCCGCCCCACCGATCCCCAAGGTAAAGGGGGCATCCGCCCCACCGATCCCCAAGGTAAGGGGGGCATCCTCCCCACCGATCCCCAAGGTAAGGGGGGCATCCTCCCCACCGATCCCCAAGGTAAGGGGGGCATCCTCCCCACCGATCCCCAAGGTAAGGGGGGCATCCTCCCCACCGATCCCCAAGGTAAGGGGGGCATCCTCCCCACCGATCCCCAAGGTAAGGGGGGCATCCTCCCCACCGATCCCCAAGGTAAGGGGGCATCCTCCCACCGATCCCCAAGGTAAGGGGGCATCCTTCCAACTGACCTCCAATGTAAAGGGATATCTTTCCCATTGATCCCCAATTTAAAGGAGCATGCCCCCCTTCCAACCCCTGATAAATTAATCTTAGCAGGGGTCCCCTAAGAATCATTTTAAAGTTCCCTGTGGAGTATAATGTGACTTACAGAGCCTATCCTAACGCAGGCAGCCGTGACTTACAGCTTGATTGCATCAGAAGAGGATATGAGATATATCCTCTGGTATTGATGGGTCTATGGAGCCTGTGCTGGTTATCCACGATCTGCACATTCTCTGTATCAGGTTCTGGTAACCAAAACAAAGCTGGCATCTTTGACCCTTCTCTGTCTTCGCCGTGTACCCGACCCGGACAACTGCTATGCTTATCTGGAAAGTCCCTTCTCCTCCCATGTGTGTGACACCCAGCCATCTGCTCTGGCACATTCCTCACCCTACACACCCTATATATTTATAAAGCCAGCAATCCCAGTACACCCCCTGCTTCCTGTGCTGGATGATGAAATGGGGTGGGGTGGGGGTCACAGGGACATCAAGGCCAAGGCGTATTCCCCATCACCACACCCCTCATATCTGTAATATTGGGGTGACAAACACATATGGCAGAAAACACCCCAATATGGCCATTTAGCCCCATGATCAGTAAATCCCCCACCCTATGGGGCGCCCTAAACCGCACCGATCATCCAGCACAATGGATCGGACCCTGTCCCGGAATACAAGCAAAGGAGAGCCGCCGGGTCCCGGCATACCTATCGTGTAAACGAGTCTCGTTCACCGACCTCCCTCCGCGTGCATCCACTACTGATCCGGCCGCAGCCCCGTCTAACACTTCCGCATCACCCGGCAACACAGCAGTACACCGCCCACCAATCACACGCCAGAATAACATCTCCCACACAAGCCGGGAACTGAGAGACAACAGCCGCGACCAATCAGAAAAGGACAACACCAGCATCAACCAATCAGCGACCAGAAACAGGCCACACCACGCAACGGCCACTGACAGCTCGGCGGCAAATAGCACTGGCCAGCGCCAACATGCTAGGGGTGACGTCACGAGCTTGCTCCCGCCCAGCCCAATAAGATGTCTGAGTCGCTCTCCGTTCTCGCAGCCCCTTCTAGAGCCGGTAAAAGTGAAGACTTGTGGGTGCCGGCTCTCTGTTACCCCGGCCCTATAAGCCAGGCCGCTCAGGACGGCCAGAAGTAGAAGAAGACTTGGCACAGGCCCTACACAGTGACTTGCAAAAAATATTACGTCTTGCGTCATACGTTCTGGAAATTTCCTTGCGTCAACGTCAGGGCGTTAACATAATTGGTGTTACAGCGTTACATGGGGGGCAGGCGGGGCTAGTGTTACTGGAAGTGTGGTATAGGTTTATGGGGAAAGTGGGCGGACCTACTGTTACTGGATGTGTGGTATAGGCTATGAGGGTGAGTGGGTGGGCTTACTGTTACCGGACTTGTGGTATAGGCTATGGGGGTGAGTGGGCGGGCTTACTGTTAGTGGGCATGTGGTATAGGCTATGAGAGTGAGTGGGCGGGCTTACTGCTAGTGGACGTGTGGTAGTATAGGCTATGAGGGTGAGTGGGCGGGGTTACTATTAGTGGAAGTGTGGTATAGGCTGTGAGGGTGAGTGGGCGGGCTTACGGTTACTGGACGTGCAGGCGGAGAGAGCCGTGAGAGAACATGGAGAGCATACCGGTACCGGAGCTTGTGTGACACAGCCAGGGCAAACCTAATTCCTAATATCCCCTCCCCCTCACACAGCACATGTATTCTATACACAGGGCACAGCACTCCTCCAGGGTCATTATACCTGAGAAGTGGTCAGTGTCACCATCCCCCAGCAAATGTATAGACTGTCCATAAGAATGCATTAAGTGTGAGGCAAAAATAAATCCTAGACAGTTGTGTGAAAGGGTTAACAGGAGCAGAGCGCACTTACCTGGTTTTCCCCTTTAACCCCGTCAATACCAGGCCAATGTTGACTTCTATCATACATGTAAAAAAATCTACATTTTTTTTCGTCCTAGAAATTTACTCAGAACCCCCAAATATTCTGTCCCGCTTTGCCAAGAGAGGACAGGATTTTCAGGAGGTCACACAGTTTCCTCGTAGTGAACATCCTTCCAGTTGGATCCAGCTCCTCCCGAGTCCGTGTGCTGCAATCACTCACATTTACTCTATTCTAGAACTGGATTGTATTCTACCTGAGAGTTCAGTTGGCTTTACATCTGCTGTAACTGTCAATATGTAGTTAAAGTCCATTTCAAAAAGTGGAACTCTACCCCTCAATTTACCCATTTCCCAAGCCGTTACATTCCAGGTATTCCATAGACAAGGCTGCGTTCACACCATGGTGCAGAGAGGTCCGTTTTTTTTTTTCTGCACGTATTCTGTAAGGGCACAACAAAATCAATTGTTCACTACACTGTACAATTGTTAGGCAAGTTGTATTTTTGAGAATTTTATTATTGAGCAACTGCAGTGTTCTCGGTCAATCCAAAATGTCAATAAACCTCAAACCTGAATATTTAAGAAAGTAAGAGTGAGGTTTTGGCTTTCTTAGAATATCTGTGTGTGCAGAATTATTGGGCAACTATTAAGGTGTCCTTTTATGAAGCTGAGATCAGCGGTGACCCTAAGGATCATTGCTGATCTCAGATCATTAGTGGTTTAGGAAACAGATGATCAGTGGAGAACATGTTCACTGATCATCTCAGCACACAGATGGCCAGTATATGAAGGAGCGATGCCAGCTCTTCACTGGCGATCTGTGTTCTCCCTCCAGATTCTCAAGCCCAGAGCTGGAGAATTGGAGGAACCGCTGCTTAGTATACAGTGTTTGACTGACTGATCTCTTACCGTAATCTTGTGAGATTGCACTAAAAGCAGCCATTTTCTAGCATTCAAAGCATTTATAGATCGCTTCTCTCTTCATTCGGAGAAGCGTTCTACACCGCTTCATAAAAAGGCATTCAGAGGAGAATTCTCTCCTCTGAGAATGCCGGAGAACTGAGCAGCGGTCATTTACTGCTGCATGATAAAAAGACACCCAAGTGTACACAATTATTATGCAACTAAATGAAAAACGAACATTTTTCCCATCCCACTTGTCTGTTTTCATCCGTTAGCTCTGGTTCACAGTGCCGTGACTTGGGATTCGACTTGTGAGACCCCCAAGTCACATGACATGTGAAATCCCATGTTAGTCAATGAGAGCTGTCCTAATTAGCACTACTGAAGTCGCTCCAACTTTAGAAAAGATTCCTGTACTATTTCAAGGCGACCTCTACCCAACTTGTACCCATAGACGTTAATGGAAGTCTCCAAGTCGGATCCTCATCTATATTGATGTGATTTGGATCTGACTTTACAGAAAGATTACCCAGGAATTCCCTGAAAGTTGCTTCAAAGTAGTACTCAAGTCGACTGGCAAAGTCAAGCGACTTTCAGGTAGCAGTAGTGTGAACCGAGACTTAACATGAGAATAATAAACTCCAAATTTACAAGTAAACATTTCTGACCTATAAAAAAAAAAATCATTGACCAATATAGCCACCCTTCTTTTCAATAACAGTCAAAAGCCTTCCATTCATGGAGTCTGTCATTTTCTTGATCTGTTGACTATCAACTTTTTGTGCAGCAGCAACCACAGCCTCCCAGACACTTCAGAGAGGTGTACTGTTTTTTTCACCGTAATTCTCCCATTTAGGAAGGGCCCACAAGTTCTCAATAGGGTTTAGGTCAGGTGAGGAAGGGGGCCATTATTCTTTCATCTTTAAGGCCTTTACTGGCTAGCCATGCAGTGGAGTACTTCGATGCATGTGATGGAGCATTGTCCTGCATAAATATCATGGTCTTCTTGAAAGATGAAGACTTTTTCCTGTACTGCTTGAAGAAAATGTCTTCTAAAAATGGCAGTAGGTTTGGGAGTTGATTTTGAGTCCATCTTCAAATCAAAAAGGTCCATCTAGCTCATCTTTAATGTCAGCCCATACCAGAACCCCACTTCCACTGTGCTGGTGTCTGAGTCAAAGTGGAGCTCTGTGCCTGTTACTGACCCAGTCCATCCATCTGGTCCATCAAGAGTCAATTTCATCTCATCATTCCAAAAAATCGTTGTAAAATCTGTCTTCAGATATTTCTTGGCTTGACATTTCAACTTCAATGTGTCTTGTTCAGTGATGGTCGGGTTTCAGCCTACCTTACCATGGCCATGCCTCTGAGTACTGAACACATTGTATTCTGGGCACTCCAGGTAGGTTGCAGTTCTGGAATATGACAGCACTGGAGGATAATGGGTTCCTGGTAGCTTCACACTGGATTCCTCTCAAATCTTTGGTAGTTAATTTGCTTCTTTTTTTTCTCAACACGTTTCTTGCGACCCTGTTAACTATTTTCAACAAAACGTTTGATGGTTCTGTGATCAAGTCCCAATATATTAGCATCTTGAAGAGTGCTGCATCCCTCTGGAAGACTTCTTACAATTGTTGCTTTTCAGAGTCAGTTAAATCTTTTTTGGCCCATTCTGCCTGAGCAAACAAAGATGCCTAATAATTATGCACACCTTGATATAGGGTGTTGATCTCCTTAGGCCACACCTTCCCTCATTACACAAATACACTTAACCTGATATGCTTAATTGCAATAAGCATTCAAGTTTATACAGCTTGGAGTTGGACAACATTCATAAAAATGATGATTTGGTTAAAATCACTTGCTTAATAATTGTGCACATAGTGTATGTGCCTTGTTCACACCACCAAACTAGTATCCCGCATCTGCAACATGTATAAAACTAATTGAAGCGCGCATGTAAACTGATGTCTCTGCAAGTGAAATCTGTGCGTCAGCTTCCATCAGTTTTTCCGCACGTAACTGTCAAACCATCAAATGGGTGGTCTCATAACTGATCACATCATAAAGCAGAAGAGGGTTTAGTTCCACTTTAAAGGGGGAAACAGAAGTGGAAAAACAAAAATCAGAACTATACCCACTGATTTAACAGTTTCCCAAAACAGTTCCATTCAAGGCATAAACAAAAAAGAGCAAAACATTTGACAAAAAAAGTTTTTTTTACGTTTCTATTATAAAATTTTGCAAACAGGTAATTTTTCTCCTTCACTGATGTGCGTTGATGAGGCTGCATTGATGGAGCACTGATGAGGTGGTACAGATAGGCAGCACTGATAGGCGGCACTGATGGGTGGCACTTCAGGGTAATAGTGGGTGGCACTGCTGGGCATTGATCATCAGGGCACTAGTGCCGATCTGTTCTCTGACAATTGCCGGTTATCAGCAGTACTTTCCTCATGCTGTGACAACGTGAGGAAAGTGCAGCCGATAACCGGCAACTGTATTTACTTGGTGATCTGCTGTCCCAGAACTGGACAACCGTGTTGTAGCTGTCATTCGGATTTTTACTCCAGAAGCATTTTATTAAAATAAATTTGATAAAAATAAAAAAAAACCTGATTACAATTTTAAAAATCTGATATTTTAAAAAAAATTTATTTAAAAAAAATCGATTTTTATCCACCCTGCTAAAAATGTAATTATAAAAATATATCTTTTAAAATATTTAAACTCTATTTTTTCATATAACTAAGTTTATTTTGACCGTTTTTTGTTTTTTTATCTAATACCTGGCTGATCCTGCCAGTTCCCCTCTTTCCTGGTTGAACACTCACCACGTTAAGCATGAAAGTCTATCCTTTTGATAGCGTGGTCAGTTTGCATGCCCTGTCATCCTGTTTTGAGATACAAGAAGGCTATGCAGTGCATAGTTTGCCTATGTGAGGAGGGCCCTCCTATCCCTCTTGTATTGAACTGTATTGTTGCTGTATTGTCTCCCATTATATTGTAAAGCGCTGAGCAAACTGTTGGCGCTATATAAATCCTGTATAATAAGAATAATAATATGTGTTCAGTTTGGAGCCACGCCCCCCTCCCCCCCATTCCACATTCCTCCTGTCTTCATTGATTTCAATCCTCAGCATTGCTGTTAAATGGTGCAAGTCGTCTGGGGAAGGGATGTATGCCGGTGGGCTATTGACTTGTGTTCCTTTTTCTTGGAAACGCTTAGCCTTGTCGGTATACGTCACTTCCAGAAGTGGCACAAGCTCCTGCAGAACAGTCACACCCCCCTGGCCACTTGTAACAGCAGAATTATACAGAGCAGTGATCATATGACCTCTATGAAAACATTAGAAAAGGTATCTAAAAGTAGATTTTTTTAATGCTTTCAAAATATTGATTATGAATATAGATACTTTTACTAACCAGACTATACATTTTAGGGCTTTGCCTTTACAGCCACTTTCAGGGGATTGCGTTTCTTTTATAACTATGCAGTCGAGTGTTAGTCGAGTTTGGCGGCACCACCTGTCAACTTGCCCATTAAAGTCAATGGAAGGCACTATGCTGTATCCGTGAGCCAGGAGTTTGGTTCCCAGTTGCAGCACAGTAATCCCATTCAAAATCCCTGTTCAGCAAAAAATAAAACAAGTGGCAGCATTGCCTCCTGAACACCTACAAGCCCCTGCTCTACTGCCCTCTGAAAAGTGATCGCAGGCGTAAACTTGTGCTAAGTGATTTATATTTGCTTCCCTATTTGTCAAGGATCAGAGGTTACTTCGTCTGACTCATCCACTGCGTTTGCCCACAAAATGGGTTTGATGTACAAGACTGTTCGCCTTGCAGAATGAGTGTTCACTGTGCTCTGTTTAGTTTGAACGGTCTGTTAGTGGATATTAATAATGAATCCGGTGAAACTGTTCATTTTGAATAACCAATCGTGTGCTGACAAAGTAAAAGTACAGACTCTTGTAATATCTTCCACAGGAGCCAACGCTTTACACTGTAAGAGCCGCCATCATTTTGGACCAGGATGGGCATCGACTTCTGGCTAAAGTAAAACTTGAATGTAAATTGCATGCGTGTGCCAAAGACATTCCCTCTGCACTTGACTACTTTCTTCAGCTTTTACTGCTGTGACTAAAGCACAAAGCATGAATAAACCAATCTAGTTAAGTCTTTCCTTTAGGCTGCTTCACACTGATGCACTTTTGGTGCATTCCTTAATTAAAAAAGTGGAAGAAAACTGCATCCCTTCAAATCCTGTATAGCTCTTCACACTGGTCTGTTGCACTTCAGTTGTCATTACAATATCCTGCTTGCTGCATTGTTGGTGCATGTTTTGGTCCGGTAAAATAACCACCAAAAAAGCATCCCTCCATCAAAAAGGCAACGTACCTGTGAGAAGTTCTCAACCCCCGATTTACAGGATCGCACAACAAGGTAAAATCACATTATATTCAATGGTGCCCTTCTAATAAACTCAGCACAGTGTGATTTTGGAAAAGGTTCCAGGTGGACTTCAGTGCAACTTCAGCCCCATAGACTTCTATGTTATCTCACAGATGTCACATCAGTGTACGACTTTGATGGATTCAGCCCTGGTTCACACCGGTGTGACTTGTCATGCAATTTGACAGTTCCAAATCACGACAAGTCGCACCCTATTGTCGGCAATGGAACTGTTCAAATCGTTGCGACTCCAACTTTGTGGTGCTGCACCGATTTGGGAAAAAAAGTTCCTGCACTATTTTTTGCGATTTCACGTGCATAGATATCTGTGCATGAAGTCGCACTGCCCTGCGGCCTTGAAATTGTGCAACTTCAAGTGAAGTCAGATTCAGTGTTTTGTTTTTTTTTAACCCTCTCCTCCCTGATCATCCTTCATCCACGTATTTTGATGCAACTGCGATTTTGGAGCCTTGCTTCGATCGATCAACATATCTTTCCTTCAATCAATCCACCCTTCCATCGATTCATCGACCAACCCTTGCTTCCATCGATCAGCTGACCCTTTGATTGACCATTCCTTTGGTCAATTGACCAATCAACCCTTCCTTCAATCGATTGACCCTTCCTTCCTCAAAGGCAGGGTTGATTGAATGAAGGAAGGATCAATTGGTTGTTTAAAGGAAGTCAATTGATCGAAGGGAGAAACGATTGAAGGAAGGGTCAATTGATCAAGCGACTCTTCCTTTGAACGATCGGCTGACCCTTCCCTCAATTGATCAACCCTTCTTTTGATTAATTAATAAATCAACTTTTGCTTCGATAGATCCTTCGACCGTTCCCCTTGATCAATCTTCCCTTCGATTGGTCGACCTTTCCTTCAATCGATCGGCTCTCTTTCTTCAAGCGATCCTTTGATAGATTGATCTTTCCTTTGATCGATCGACCTTTCCTTCAATCGATTTACCCTTCCTTTGATCAATCGGCCGTTCAATTGATCAATCTTTCCCTTGATTGATCAATCCTTCCTTCATTCGATCAAAGGAAGGATCAGTGGAAGGAAGGATCAAAACTGATTCAGTGTGAACCTAGGTTTAGGCAGTAAGGATGAGGGAGGAGAGGTAAGGGTTAAAAAAAAAACACTGTTCCATTAAAGTCGCATAGGAATGTTTATCATCTATGCTAATGTGATTTATGTGAGATAACATAGAAGTCTATGGGGCTGAAATCGCACTGAAGTCAGAATACTATTTGATTTCCCTTGTCATGCAATTCTGTAAACCCAGGCTTGAGAACGTCTAAAGTCACACTGAAGACTCATCAAAGTCACATCAATAGTCGCACTAGAAATAGTGGGAAGTGATAAAGGGAAAATGCAATGCAATCATGGCAAAAATACATCAAAAACGCATAATGCGTTGTGTTAAATTTAACGCAACACAGGAAAAATGCATATGCGTTTTTCATACAAAGCAGGGAGTGAGGGAAATCACCCCAATTACAATACAAAGGACAAAAAAATATTGAAAGATGTCCTGACTCTTATCCACTGCACTACGGCCACTAGATGGAGCTGACGATCACTGTAAATAAGTATTTGTTTCCTATGATCATTAGCTCCATCTAGAGGCCTTAATGCTGTATTTTCCTGATTCACACTATTCTTATGAAGGAACAACATTCAACCTGGAGAGAAAATAGCCTAGTAACATTTGATTTTGCCAGTATTCACAAAGGATGGATATACATGCAGTTTCACAGGACAAATGCCTCTGCAAATTTCTTTATAAATACACTACTTTGAGCTGAATTCCGTAACACTAAGAAGTCCTCCTTTGCAGTGGGTCTGCGCCCACTCTGCAAAGGTTAACTGCTTGTTTAGACTAGGAGAGGTGAATAACGCTTCTGCTTACCTGATCCTTCCCGGCAAATGGTGCAGTGGACTGTCCCTTGGTGTCCTGATGTCCAGCATAGGGCTATGTACACTGCATTGGTCTTGATGACATCAGAGGACCTGAGACCACTGGAGTACAGGGGAGAAGACATTGCGGTGACCAGTCTAGCAATGTAGAGGAGCCTGTAGGAGCAGAGAATTGGTTAAATAAAACTGATTTTCATGGTCCCCTAGCAATGAACAAGCTTAAATTTACCCTCTGCTGCGGGGGGCAACAAGAGCTGTCAGTGTTAATTGGCACAACCATTCAGGTTCTTGCTTTAAGTTTCTTATTCTGCGAGAACATTGGGTTGTAATAAGTAAGACAGAGCTTTTGTTTCAGCAATGCGTTTCTATCAAAGTCCTGACCTACTTTATAAAGCACAATTTACCCATTTGTGTAGTAAATCCAGGTTTAGAAGAGACAGTTGACATAGATATCAGAAATACACAGGTTGAGCTGGATGGACTGGTGTCATTCTTCACCCTTACCAGCTATGTAACTATGAATAAGCAGTTCACAGTCTGAGGTTTACATCAGACATGACATCATCCTCCACAAATGACAGTTATTAAGACTGCACCTTCTTTATGTGAGCATGGCTAAATGAGATTATGTCATAAGGTGTCATAAGGTGCTTATAAATGTGAGCTTTAGGTGCTTCACTTGTGTGACATCAGTTCTTTACTCACCTTTATTTTTAAGAGTGAAATTTTACTCTGATGTGATGCTCCAGTGTGAAGAATGTTCTGAGATGTTCCAGTTAGTCCTAACACTTTCTTTGCAAAGAATGGAAAATAACAGAAAGATGAAAGAAGTTTTAGCTGTTTGCATTTCAAGCTTATGACAAAATTAAATGTTTTTTTTCTTTGGAACCATTTTTGGGCTAAAATCACTAAAGATCAACTCCAGGCTGTAAGAACAGACATTGCACATCCTCCACCCACCAGCTATAGTTGTCAAATGACACCATGATTTTATGACACCAGCTCTTAATGTCACCATTCAATTTTCTCAGTGTCACAGTGCCCAACCGTACTGAACCTCAGATGGGTGTGTAAGGCTTTAGAACAGAATGAATGGCATACCCTAAAGTGATACCTAGGGGTGTTTTTCTTTTTAAATAAAAAGAGGTTATAGGTATCGGCTCTGTGCAGCAATATTGCACAGAAAGGTTGCTTACCTCCTCTTTCAGCAGTCCCCTGCTAGCACTGTCACCTTTCTCTGGGTGCCTCCTTAGCAAGTTGGGTGCTAAGGAAGCACCTGTGTGCGAGCACTCGAGATTGGCTGTATGCGTCCATAGACACACACAGCACCGGTAGGCCAGTGATCCCTCCTCACATCAGTTTGGCTGAGAGCAGCAGGAGTCTATGGCTTACAGGAAAAAACCTGGTGTTTCCTGTAAGACCAGGTGTGGCTGAGTTAGGAAAAATTGTCAGAAGTAACTCATACAGGTAACAGAGGAACAAGGCAGCAGAGAGAAATTGCACTCAGCGCTTTGGACAGAGGCAGGAACACAGTATAGCATTATGTGTTTTGTTCATATTTCATGTCTGGGATTTACAACCACTTTGATGCAGCGAATGCATTAAGTGGAAAACCACTTTAACCCCAACCACAAGAGACCAGATAGGTGCAAATGGCCTCTTCAGGTATTTATACATTTCATTGTTATTGCCTTTAACCACTTGCTGCCCACTAACAGTACATTTATTGCTAGTGGGTGGTACAGCCAGGCATCGGAACGTACCGGTACGTCAGGGAGAACTTCCTGGACTTCACATGCTTGAACACAGCACATTTGTCAGCTATAACAGCTTCAACTCTTCCGGGAAGGCTGTCCACAAGGTTTAGGAGTGTGTCTATGGGAAGGTTTGACCATTCTTCCAGAAGTGCATTTGTGAGGTCAGGCACTGATGTCGGACAAGAAGGCCTGGCTCACAGTCTCCGCTCTAATTCATCCCAAAGGTGTTCTATTAGGTTGAGGTCAGGACTCTTTGCAGGCCAGTCAAGTTCCTCCACCCCAAACTCACTCATCCATGTCTTTATAGACCTTTCTTTGTGCACTGGTGTACAGTCATGTTGGAACAGGAAGGGGCCATCCCCAAACTGTTCCCACAAAGTTGGGAGCATGAAATTGTCCAAAATGTCTTGGTATGCTGACACCATAGGAGTTCCCTTCACTGGAACTAAGGGGCCAAGCCCAACCCATGAAAGACAACCCCACACCATAATCCCCCCTCCATCAAATTTTACAGTTGGCACAATGCAGTCAGACAAGTACCATTCTTTTGGCAACCACCAAACCCAGACACGTCCATCGGATTGCCAGACAGAGGAGCGTGATTCGTCACTCCAGAGAACACGTCTCCAATAGTAGCATGCTTTACACCACTGCGTTTGACCCTTTCCATTGTACTTGGGAATGTAAGGCTTGGATGCAGCTGCTCGGCCATGGAAACCCATTCCATGAAGCTCTGTATGCACTGTTGTTATGCTAATCTGAAGGCCACACGAAGTTTGGAGGTCTTTAGCTATTGACTCTGCAGACAGTTGGCAACTTCTGCGCACTGTGCGCTTCAGCATGTGCTGAAACTGCTCTGTCATTTTACATGGCCTACCACTTCGTGGCTGAGTTGCTGTTGTTCCCAGTAGCTTCCACTTTGTTATATC